ACAAATTCTCTACAGTACAACCCCCCCTCAAACTGCAGCAACAATTTCGCTCTTCTTCTTCCTCATTTTGGGCGCATATAACTCAGGGACGGAAGTTTACCTGGGTACAGGGTATTACACTGTCGGGCTTGCTCGACTGTAGCTCTCTCTCTTGTTTTTCTACGATTTTTCAAAATATAGGAGACATGCATAGAACTGCTTACTTCGAAAAGTACGCCTGTGTGCTTAACTATATAGAAACGTATTCAATACAAATCGTTATATTTTTCTTGTGCGGTTCTTAGAGCGGGGCTTCAAGAAATCCTAGAACCAATAACCAACAAGTTTTAAAAAAAAATACCAAAACTATAAAACTATAAAATTAAATCTTAAGTTCTTATTTTTATTTCAATAAAAAAATTCTGAATTTTGTAAAAAATAAAAACTTCAATATATTCAAACTCTAGAACTGTTTATTTCGATGAGTACGCCTGTGTGCTCAACTATATAGAAACGTATTCAATATAAATAGTTAGAGTTTTCTTATGCGGCTTTTAGGTTTAAAGCAATCCTAGAACCAAGAAGATAAAAAGTTTTAAAAAAATCCAAAACTACAAACAAATAACGTAAAAATTTCTGAATTTTTCAAAAAATAAAAACTTCAGTCAAGAATTTTTATCCAACAAGCTCTAGAACTGCTTATTTCGATGAGTACGCCCGTGTGCTTAACTATATAGAAACGTATCCAATATAAATCGTTCTATTTTTCTTGTGCGGTTCTTAGAGCGGGGTTTCAAACAATCTTATAACCAAGAAGATAAAAAGTTTTAAAAAAAATTTCTGCATTTTTCAAAATAACAAAACTTTACTATGGCGTTAAGAATTGTTTTCGTAGCCTTTTTTTATCCAACAAACTCTAGCACTGCTTATTTCGATGAGTACACCCGTGTGCTTAACTATATAGAAGCGTATTCACTGTATTTTTCCGATATTTTTAAATAAAAACCGACATCACGTAGGGGTTACACAACCTAGCGGAAGCTGCATTGTTGGATATTTAGCTTATTTGGACTCTTTTTCAAAATTCAAGTCTAAGCAGAAACGGTCGTTCTATCGTACTCCAGCCACAATTTTAAGAATATACGCGTATGTACATATAGAAGCGTTAAAGTTCTCTCTGTATGCTTCCATGTTTGCACTCTGCATATTAAAATGTCTGCTGCGATGAGGATGGGGGAAAACAACATTGCCGACACTTATTAGCCTCGAGTACATCAATCATCAGCTTGTTTTAATTTTAAAAAATCGCACGCTGTTCGTTTTCCAGCTCCCATCCTCCCTCTCATATCCCATGTCCACTGTCCGACAACAACGGGTGGTTGGGCATAACTTTTAGTACTTAATTAAATGCCACCCAACCGCACGCCCTGCTTTCGCGACCCAAATGGCAGAGGAGGAAGTGAGCGCCGCGGCGCGCCCCGCCCACTATTTGCAGCAGCGTCATGTGCGGCATCCCTTTCTAGCAGCAACTATGTCCTGTGTATCCTTGGGATATTTTCCCGTTGAAGGAAGGAAATTTTCCCGGCAGTGTCGAAAGCACGCCATTTTCTTTTTGCTCAACAATTGTTCAGACTGATTTCCATTGCGGTCGCGGGCGTTACGGGTGTGAGCTTATCTGTCTATGTAACCGTAACCATAGCCGTAGCTGTAGCCGTAGCCGTATCCGCAACCATAGCCTTAGCCGTTTATAGCTGCCAGCCAAGAAGATTGATCTATTTCATAAGCAGTTTTGAAATTTTTATTACCAAAAAATGTAAATCACTTTTAATAAAGCTTCGTCCACAAATTGTCGGCCTGCAGGGTTTGACGGATTAGAAATCACGCCACACAGAGGCTTACGAGTGCATTAAATTTTTTTAATATTATCATTTAATAAACAACATCATCCACGCATAGGCGGTTTGTCGAGAATAAATGAAAATAAACGCGATTGTGCCCAGCATTTCTATGGCAGCGATTTTGACATAACTTCAGGTTTTGATGGGGCACTAAAAAACGCATAAATACCAATTTCGGATACAATATCTATAAGAACAGAATCATTCCTAAGCTAGCTCTACTATAAGAATATACTGCATCGTTTTTAATGAAACTTTCGACTATTTGGAGGCACTATACACCAGATTTTCTTAAGATATCTTCACAAACATAAAAGTTATGCTAATAAGAATGACTTTTGCATCGATCGTTCCTATGACAGCTATATAAAATATTGAAGCTATATACATCTTGTAATAAACTTGTTCTGCATTTCAATAGGAAAAATGTATATACCGAGTTTGGTGTCTCCCCCTGTTATGGTTCAAAAGTTCTCAGTGTTCATACAGACAAACAGACTGGACGAACGAACAAACAGAACCCACGTGTGTATTAATTCGTTTCGTCATGCCGATCTTATACTATATGTACTAATAACAAACATATTTTCTCTCCCTATCTACAATAGAAATTTAGACATACTTGTTTGCCCTTTCTTCCTTAAAGTACAGAGTAAACAAATAAGTTACTCTTATTTAATTAAAAAATTTCCATCTAAGAGATTTAGTTTTGAAGCAATAAAATAAAAATGAGCCATTAAATATTCCCTATTTGCCTAAAAAAGTTTGCATAGAAAATAAAACAGGATACCCGCTAGAGAAATTATGATTATGTTGCAGAATAAATTTTATCTGAACACAAAAATTTTGAATCTGTTTTTGTTGCGATGTAATGCAACATCAGAGGAATTTTATCTCTAAGGTTAGAATATTTTTCGAACTCCTCTTCTGGAAGCAACCAATTAATATGCATATGTGAGAATCATGGATAATTTCATGAGTTATGCTTTATGTGAACGATCCTCGACCTCAATGGAATGGAGCATTGTAAGAGTTTGGCATTAAAGTTTTCACAGTTCGATCAAACATTTCTGCTGTTCTCACTTTGAAATTTTTCACAAAGGGTTCTTAAGCTATGATTAGACGGGCCAAAGCTTTCCACACTCTGTTAAAAACCAATAAGAATTCGATACCGAAAAAATAATTTCCTGCTGCTACAATCTTATATAGGGCTTACATTCCATAGCCTACTACAAAAAATCACAACTTTTTGATCAAAACATTTGCATGTTTGACCGAAGCTTAATATGTCGGTCAAATCTAACCAAATCTTGGCTGAATTGTTGAGATATATCAACCTGCTTATGAGATCATAATTAAAGAAATCTGAAGAAAAATGGGAAAAAGCTGTTAAGTGCACGACTTTTGAAAGTTTTTAGACGGTTTTTTAGTTTTCGTTTCAAACATATTTCAAGGTTTGCTAATACTACGTAGATCTTCTGTAATTTATTAAAAAAGCGTATATGTTTTTTGTGAACCGCATTCGTGGATTTGAGAGCAACCATCGCTATACTATATTCCAATACTCAACAAGCAACATATATTCTTGTGCTTCAGTTATGTTGAGATGTCATCGGAGCCGATCCATGTTTTCAGATCTCAATAGAGTATAGCCAATAAATGAGAGATTTCTCTTTAGTGTAAAGTACATTTTTCCTCACCACATCGAACGTTTGCTTCATATCGAAACGCAATATCGCTGTTGGTCCATATGGAAGTGCTTCCTTAAGTCTGTCTTTTAAAATAATATTATTTACAATTGTTTTGAGAATGCTATTAAGAGACTATGACTAAGTGGAAGTCGCCCATACTACAGAGAATTATTGTCTAAACTACTATGAAAGTGAAGCAAAATAGCCCATTTGAGTGGAACAGTTTTCAGCGATCGTTTGCGACCGATTTCGTATATTCTACCACTCTCCCACTTACCCACTTTCTGGGTAAGGTGCATGCGTTATGTTCGTGATAAACTGAGGTAATACGCAATCTGTGGTGAGTATCACACCATAGGGTAGGTGTCTCTGCTAATAATAGAAATACAACTATACTATGAAAATATGGCAACCACAGAGTCAGTCTTCTATATTAAATACCCAAGTTCCTCAAAACTTCAAAGCTGTGGTTGTCTTAAAAATGTATTTTGAAAAAGACCCCGCTGAAGTATAAATGAACCAATTTGGCATTTAGATTTGCAATAGCGAGCCAATATATTCTTCATATTTATCAAATACTGTTGACTAATGAAAAAATACATAGCTTATTAAAATACATATCAAACCAGAGACATGACAGGGTCTAATCTTATAAAATGCTGACTGATAAGTAAAGCGTTCTCCAAGCTGAATCCAAGAAGATCTGGCAACACTAAGGACCAACTAAGGTAATAATACTAATAGGAACTTTGTTTCCCTGAACCCGAATATTGAACAAGAATGGAACGCCAGAGCAAAGCAGCCCCAACTCATAAATAGCCTGTACCGGCTGATACAAAAGAAATATGATATATTTTTAAAAAATGAAATTAATTAATCAAATTGTGACTATACATATAGTATATTCGTCTAGAATTGTCCTATCGCAATCATGGCATGGGGACACATTAGTACTAATCAGATGTAATCTCTAATTTGAGTGAACATTTTTCTTTTTTCGGACTTAGGAGAATCTGGATACCAAGTTTGATTATTCTAGCTCCTGTACTTCCTGAGATCCTTGCGTTCATACAGGCAGACGGACGGGCGGACAGGCGGACATCTCTAAGTATATATCGATACACAATCAAGTCGTCCGATCAAGAAAATATACAATTTGCAGTCTGCCACGCCTCTTTGTGAGTATTGCATGAACATTCCTACTAAACTAGTATAGGCCCGTTATGTTCGTTCTAGATATATCCGCCCGTCCGTCCGTTTGGATGAACGCCTGGATTTCGTAAATGACTGAGGCTACATTGACTAAAATCGTTGTGTAGACTTTCCCAATCTCTAAGCAAGAGTTCTTTTTCCAATGCATATAATACAGGACTTCCTTTTGATAAAAGGTATTTCACTAACGCTGCCCCCTTTTTTTTTATTTTAATTGAAGTCATTTGTTCGTTTCTTTATTTGCATGTTCGCTTTAAATAATGGAAATATTAAAATACAGTTTTTTGTTATTCATAGGGTTTAATTAATGATTTTTTGTTGTTTTTATAATAAATATGCTAAAGCTAATCGGCCCTTTTCGTTTGCGCTATGTCTACGTATTTCGTTACCCATAGGTTATATTTATTTATATATATATATATATAAAATAAACTTTGAAAACAGCATAAAAAATTTGATTTGATTTGTAGTAGTGTTGATAAAAACTTGGCTCGACCTTCGATTCAAAAACTACACATATAGACATATATAGACGTTAACAAAGCGCGGCAGAAATAATTGGCATTAAAATATTACAACATTATTTATAATTATGGATAGCATAGAAGAGAATTAAAGAACAACAACAAAGAGTAGTTGTTGCTGTTTGTGTGTTGTGTGGTAAAAAGTTAGTATGTCTAACTGCATTTTAGGCTCAGTCTCTGATTGGATGAGACGTCCGCTCACAATAGATATTGTAGTACATACTATATGTAAATAAATGGTAATAAATACCTGCCAGGACTTTCGTCCTCGCATACAGCTTTTTGTTTGTTTTTAGTTAATAATACAAGTAGAACGCTCCGCATTAGAATATACATCGGAAAATAAGAGAGGAGGGCATTCACGTTTCAAAGTACTTATAAATAGCGGTTACATAGGACATGACTTGCATCCAGTCGGGTCTCTCCAATTTACACATATCGTTGATATTCTGCAAGAAAATCGCAAATATTAAATGAGAATAGAATTTCAAATCAAAACAAATCCGTTTCCACTTACCAGGGTAGTGCCTATGCCCACAGATTCAGCAGCGGCGAAAGCCAACGAGAAATTCCGACGCTTGTTGGCCGGCGTTAAGGTGTCGTAAGGTATGCGATCCGGCAAATAGGAATGTAAAATCGCACAGAATGCCAAACCATCGTTCCACGACGAACTAAAGTTCGTTATATCAATATTGCGATAGCCGACGGTCTTGTTCTGGCACCACTTGAGCAGTGCATTCCGCTTTGAACCGCCATTTTTCGCCAGCATATTCAGCGGGTTATTGCGCTCACCTATAGAAGAAGAAAAGAAGGAATGTGGTTTAAATTCTCAATCTTGGCACAACAAACATATCGAACCCTTTTCGCTAAGAAGTAACAAGTATAAGTAGCCCTCTATGTTGAAGCTATTTATAACAAATGAGAATATAGTGAGGAATACTTAGAGCCTCATTAATATCATGTTTCGTTCCTATAAAATAATGGGACAATATATGATTTTTTATAAACTTGCTTTGTATATGGGTAAGACAAGTCTAGATGCCAACTTTGCTGTAACTCGCTGCTCTGGTTTACAAGTTATCGATGTTCATACAGACGGACAGAGGAACAGACGTGCAAACGATTTAATCCGTCAATCTGGCATGAGATCCTGCCACAACTCTTTCTGGTTACAAACACACGACTTCTTGCAATGACGACTACACTTAACCTAATATATGAAATATATTATAATAAATATATATTCAATATAATGGAAAAAATGCCTACATTTTAACATTCTTATCTAGAATATCAGATACATATGAGTCGCTGATATATGACCTGAGCCCTGTTTTAGATAAAGCCCACTATATGAGCGATAAAACATAATTCAAATTCGATTGCAACTCAAAATCAAGTTGGGCCATTTTTGGCGCATCTCTTGAAATGATTTCCTGTTTTCGTGTTGCTTGCGATATGAGCGCTTTTTCGAATCCTTACCACTCATTATGGACTTTGAGACATTGCCGAAGCTTAGGCTGCCCACCAGCGCGTTGTTTGGCGTCTGCACTGGCGTCAGACTGGGTGGTTGTTGTGTGCCAGGTGTGGTTGGTGTGGGTGGCGTTTGTTGCTGCTGGTGCGCTGATGACTGCTGCTGTTGCTGTTGTGTTTGTTGCTGTTGTTGCTGCTCTCGCAGCGGAAATGGGACTTTGGTTGTATTAGCTGTTGCTGATGCTGTTGTTGTTGGTGTTGTAGCTGCTGTTGTTGTTGTGCCTGTATTGTTGATGTTGATATGCAGATTGCTGCTCTGCAACACAGGCAACCCCAACTAGAGCGAGAGAGAGAGAGAGACAGAAAAGAAGAGAGTAAGACCATGAGTGAGACAGAGCGAGTGAGAGAGAGAGAGGGTATATACTTACGCTCTCATGCCAGTCACTGGATCCGGGCAATATTATGGGCGTATGTCCAGTTTCCGGCGTACCACTGTTTAGACTCGAAGTGGAGCTGTAATGCGACTCGTTGTCGTCTGATTTACCCTGCTGTGGATACAAGTGCGATTAGTTCAAGTTTATTTGCATTGCAAACTATTTTTACTTACCGACTTATTGTTCTCTATGCTCTCAATAAGCGTCTTAACGGACAGTCGCGAGTCTTGTCGATTAAAGTTCAGCTTGCTGCGCCTTGATGCTACCTCCTGTTGCACAGTCGACAACACCGATTGCTGCGTCTCCGCTTGTTGCAGTTCTGCAGAAAGAAAGTTCATTAGTTAGAGAGGAAGATTAAATCTACGTGCCAGTGTCCAGTTTCCCAATTTCCAGTCAAATTGAAAACATTCCCTTATAATGCTGCCCAACTGACTATCGAGGAATCTACTTAGATGACATGTTAGACAGAAGTCAATAGTTACCAGCATATTGGAATTGTGGATACGACAAAGTGCTTTAACACAGAAACAGGTGGGGGATAAAAAAAAAAAACAAATAAACTCGTGTTGGCTTGGTACTAAGAGAGTCTACATACGAGGGCCTTTACGAAATCCAGACGTTCTTTCTGCCTGTTATCTAGCATTATAACACTCTACCCTTTCATTAACTGTGATTGATTAAGAATTTTATTAAAAAAAAAATGTTGATGAAAACAATACGTTTTAAGATCAAATTGAGCAATACATCTACCTAGAAAGAGAATTCTTAAATTTCCACTTCAAATACTAGAAGCCAAACATAGGAGTACATTCTATAAAAATAGTGCTGTACGCTGCAATAATAACTTATAAAATGTATTTAGTTAAAAGTATCAAATCAGGGTTACTACTAGACTGTGATGTTTACGAACCCGTTTCCAATATTGATCCAATTATCCCAGGTATTTTCTTAAATAAAGTTTTGTAATATTTACCTTCCAGTACTTTGTTTCTAAAATAATCTATCGGCTGGTTTCCGGATTTAGACAAAAAGGAGACAGTAAAGAATTCGTAGTTTATAAATCAAAAACACTAACCAATTAGAAAATAAAACAGCCTCTTCGATTAATTAAGGTCTAATTAGAAGGTATAAATTGAAACTATGAAGGTGTGCTCAGACTGATGAGAAAGCCGTAATTATAATATTTCAATTGAGACCAACAAGAATTCAATGCTGAAAAAACAAGATTTTCAGCTGCCAAAAACGGCTTCGAAGTTTACTTTCCAACGCCTATTTGGTTGTCTGACCGTAACATAAATTTCAAGTCTATGTCTCATATTTCATTCTACTATATAATAATCCTGCCTCTTACATCCCTGCTTTTACTTCCCTTCTAAGTCAGTTTGAATGATTTTTCAGCAAATAATGATTCCACAATTTAAAATTTGTCAAAACTAATCCTGTTCCTTTAAAAGCCCTTTTAAAGGGAATGAAATCTCAGAGCTTTGATTCGGAATTCAAACTCTAGTTTTAAATAATTGGACAACCATTGCACCAATTGTTTTGGAGATTCGCGATAATACATAATGGGACTCGATTACTCACGCTGCTTGGTTAGCTTCTCCAGCTGCTGTTCTAGCAGCCGTATCTTCTCTTTTTGCGTCTTGTTGTCGAGCACCAGCTGCTCGCGCGCACTCAACGCCTCAGTCTTAAAATCGTTTGCAACACGCACGGTCATCAGCAGATCCGCTTGGAACTGTTGCCATTCCTCAGCCTCTAGTCGTCGCAGTTGCGTCTCCTTCTCCAGTTGTGATTCGGAGTCGCTTAACTGGAGTTGGACATCGCTTAGATGTCGCTGCGTCTCGCTTAGCAACGTCTGCAGCTGTGCCTTGTCCTCCTGATGGCATTTACACTGCACCTGCAGTTCAGCCATACGCTCCTCCAGCGTCTGGCAATCGCCGGCCAATTTATCCTTTTCGGCCTGCAGCTGCTCCAGACGATACTCGAGATGTGAGAGCGCGCACTTGGCATTGTTTTTGGCCACTTTGCACTCCTCGCTCAGTCCGGCATTCTGATCGCGCAAACGTCGCAGCTCTGCCTGACTGCGCGAGCACTGATCCTGCAGCTCGGCAGCACGCTCCTCCAGCGCATCCTTTTCGCGACGCGCTGCATCAAGCACATCGCTCAGATCGGCTTTGTCGCCGCGCGCCAAATCCGCCTCCAGCTCTTCGATTTTGGAGCGCGCATTCTCGAGCAGCGTACTTAGTCGGCTTATCTCAATGGCGCGCTGTGAGATCTCCTCTTTGGCCTGCGAGAGCAGCGCTTCGGTTTGCTTGCGCTCCGCATTGGCGGCATCTAGTTGTGAGTCGAGGAGGGCGTTGCGTTCACGCAGGCGTTGCTGCTCCTCGCGTGCCGCATCTCGCGTTTGTCGCAGCTCCGACAATTCCGCATTGAGTTCCTCCTGCTTAACCAGCACCGCTTCGCGCTCCTCCTGCGACGTTTTGATGAGGTCCAGGAGCTTCTTCTCCCGCTCCGATGTGCACACCTCGGCCGCTTGCTTTGTGTCACGCAACAGCAGCTCCTGCAGCGTACTTATCTGTGTGCGTGACTCGTTGAGTTTCTCGGTTTGGCGGCAGAGCGACTGAAAGAGCACATCTTTCTCCTCGGCGAGACGCTCGTTCTCGGTCTGCGTATCGCTCAGCTGCGTCTGCAGATCGGCCAACTCCTGGAGTGTGGCCTGCAGCTCTTCGTTGGTGGAGTAATGGGTCTCCTCCATCTGTATTATCTTGTCCTGCAGGCAAGCTACTGAGATCTCGCTCGACGACGAATGCTTATCCCAATCGGGCGTAATGCAAGGCGTGCCATCATGGGTCCCTTCGTTTGTCTATCAATATCAAAAAATAAAACAGATTAATGGCGGTTCGATTAATATACAAATTAATCGTTATACTTACATTGGGCAGTGCTATGGAAGCGGGCGCCGAGCTGTGCAAACGTTGCGAATCTTGAATAAGCTGATGCTTTTCCGCATCCGACAATGGCGAGTTGACGACGTCGCGCAAACGATTGCGCAAAGATTCGTTTTCATATTTCAGATTGCCGATTTCCATTTGTGTTTTCTCCTGTAGATTCTGAAAAATAGTGAGCGGATCAGAGACAAATGATTTATTGATTCGACTTTTCTAATTACTATAATCATTATTATTATTCGTATTGTTGTTTTTGTTGCTAAGACGCAAAAACTGGCACAGTCTTGGCAAAAAGTTAAGCTAAGCAGCATGAAAATACCCATTTTTTTCTAGAAAATCCGTCAGAACTAAGCCAAATCGATTTCGAATAATAGTTCAAATTGGAAAAGGAAACTGACCTTTACGATTTTTTTTACTGTTGAGGCACTAAACTAAACTAAAATAACAACTAGATCGGGTTTTCACCGATTGATCCTATGCCAGCTATATAAAATAATGCAGCTATTCGTGATCTGTAATAAACTTGCTTTTCGTATGGATGGGACAAGCCAAAATAAGAAATTTGGTTTTCCAAGCTGTTAGGGTTCAAAAGTTGTCAATGTTCAAACAGTCGAACAGACTGACAGACGGACAGGCTTATATCGATTCGCCTCGGCAGCCATATATCTTTCTCCCTGTTATATATGTATGTACATTTGGCTTTCAGACTTTTTCAGCTCTTCCAGAGAATTTAATATTTAAACATGGGTTAAAAGACCTTTACTTTTCGACGCAACTGTGTGCGAGTTTCAATTAAAGGAATATAGAATAAAGAATTTCTACACCATATGTACAGATACATATATATGCATATGTATGTACATATATATGGAGCATATTGAATATCAGTCAATTGCAACACTCGACCCCACGATGCTTAGTCATCGAACGATGCGAGTTGACAGCTCGACTGGCAGCACAACAATAATAACAACAACAGCAACAACAACAACCACAACTGTGGTTTGTAGGGCTGAGGTCGTAGTTCTGAACTAGGCCTACGAGGCCCGTATGGAAATTACACAAAATTCAGGGTCTTCAGTTTTTTAAGTGAAAGGCAAATTTATTGAAAGGTTAAAAGATAACAATAAGATAAACAATAAAAACGTCGCACTATCTTGTCTACTATTTACTATCAAAGCTTAATAACCTTCATACATCATTGGAGAGTAGACAACATGCCTAATTCTAAGTTCTAGTGTTTTAGCTCTTTAATCCAACCATTGAACTTTTCAATCTGTTGCATGATAGGTCAGTTTTTCTATCCTTTTGGAGAGAATCTTATATAATTTCTCTACATAAGCATGGTAAGTCTGTCATTTCATATTAGAGAGGTATTGCAAGGTTATCCGAAGAAATCTAGATGAAAACGTGGTGAGACATGCAAATAATTTGAGCACGAACTCGACAGATTTCACAACTACATCATGAATATGATTTTTAATTAAAATCAATCAGATTTCGACACAAAACCTTCTTGGAATTTACTTTTCAGAGTCTACTTGTAAAATAACACAAATTTGTGTGCAAATTATTTGCACGTCTGAGCAAACCTTTAGATTTCTACAGAATTTATTGCACGTTTTTTTAAATTTTCGAGCATTATCTAACTATTCGATTAACTATTTATACTTAATTGCTTTTATATGGATCTCTCGAATTTTAGGAACTTTTCTGGACAAATATTTATAGTCTTTTGGTGGTCAATCGTATTTCATTTCTTCTTTTGCATCCTTCCTTTTTGCTTCTCATCATGTCGTCTACCTATTAACTAGCTGGCGATATGTGGCTCTGGCTCACCTGCATTTTGACCAAATTTTCCTTCAGTTTGGCCACCTCGCTTTGGTATGGCAACAGCTCTGCGATGCGCGCCTCCATTTGTAGTTGCTCGCGACCCAAGCGATCCAGCTGAAGGTTCAATTCTTGAATCTTGATGTTAGCCTGCAAATGGGGAATATGAGGTTTAAAACGGTCTTTTACATTTAATTTGTTGTTTGTTTGGTGAACACTTACCTCTAATAGTTGCTGTTGTTGTTGTTCGTTGTTGATAAGCTGCTGCTGTTGTTGTTGTTGTTGCTGCTGCTGTTGCTGATAGTTGCTCGCTGCAACGGCTGCGACAGCAACGGCGGCTGCTGCTGCCGGAAATGCTGCAGCGGCTGCTGCGCTGTTCGCCGCATTTGTTGTTGTAGTTGTGCCTAATTGCTGATAATAGTCCTTGGGGCCGGCAACACCGCCACCTGCAGCAGCAACAACGCCACCATCCTGTAGGGCGGACAAGGCGCTGTTGTTATTGCTAGTGGCTGCGGCTGTTGCCGGATGTGGCACGATGGATGTCATCAGTTGTTGTTCTTGCTGGTGTTGGTGTAGCTGCTGCTGCTGGTGTTGTTGCTGCGCCGGCGCAGGCGCATTGCTAGACACTGCCTGAGCTTGCTGCTGAACTTGATGGTGGGGGGGCTGCTGGGGTGCTGGCAATTGTTTTGGCTGCTTTTGTCCCTTCAATTTGGATTTCTTTTGTGGCAATGTATTGCTCAGCTGTTGTTGTTGTTGTTGCTGTTGAAGTGCGGCTTGTGTTGCTGTCGTCAGCGGCAACGCATCCTCATCGCCCACATCAACGCCACGTTCGTACGTTGCGTCGTGATTTGAATAGAATTTTGTTGTTGTAGCGTTGTTGTGGTGTTGTTGTTGCTGCTGCTGCTGCTGTTGTTGTTGTTGTTGCTGCTGCTCATGCGCCGTATTGAGAGATGTGCTCGATTGTGACTTCTGGCGATTGTTGTTGGAATGCTGTTGTTGTTGCTTGTGCGATGCGTTCGAGGAGGCGGAACTCGAGTTTCCTTGTCCTCTGCGAAATAACGATTTTAATTTAATCATTTTGTTTGTTTGTTTGTTGTTGTTGCCCTTGATGTAGTTGTAAAACGGTAACCATTAACAATGCTTGCAGTTTGGTGTTGTTTGTATATATTGCATATATTTTATTTATTATTATTTTTTTTTATCGTTGCACTTTGGCGGCGCAACGTCGTCGATTGTCAGTTTTCGTTGCTATTTTTATTGTATCGTGTATTCTCTTTTATCGCTTGGTCGTTACACTTTGTATAAAGGTGTTATTTATTGTATAAAACATTTCGTTCGGCTGTTTAAATAATGCGCTCTATTTATTATTTGCTCTGCTGTGGTTGTGGGTGTTTGGATGTGTGGATGTGCGTGCGTGCGAGTGGCTGGCTGGCTTTGTTATCGATAACAATGAAAGTGCAACAAAAGTGAAATTCGAGGCAGCAAACTCGTTTGCATTGTGCAGAGACAATCAACATGCATTGTTGTTGCAATGCGAAAGAGAAGGGCCGGTAGAAAGAGGAGAGTGAGAGTTAACAGTGGGCCGCGTGCGCTCTCTCTCTCCCTCTCTCTGTTATGCTATGCTCTGTGTTATTTTAAGCTAACAGCGACGCCTATGTCAGCTGTTGCTTGAGCTGTTGCTTGAGCTGGCAACGATTCGATTGAATATCTATTTAAGCCATACTTTTCTTAAGGTCAAGGATTTTGTAACATCTTGTGTTATATATTTATGAATAAAAGGGATTTGTTGCACTTGCTAAAGAAAGGTGTGTTAAAGTAGGGTTATATTTTAGTTCTCGTATAGGAGACGAATGAATACAATGAATACAAAAGCAATTAGGAAATAAATGTTTGTAAATAAACTGAATAATGTGAAGAATGCCTCAAATAAATTTTAAAGTACGTAAGTTCCTTAACGAATTTCTTATAGAATACAAAAGAAGACCTTAAATCCTTTTCTGGTAAATCGCTTGTACAGATCTTGACAAACATTTAATATTACCGGCTTTGACATCTCAACTAAAACAAGAAACCGATTCAAAACTGGCATTCTATCTGCCAATCAGAAAGGAATCAAATTATGCATACATAAGACTGGAAAACACGCACACACTAATATAAGCAACATAAACTTTAACTAAGCACCAAATTCCACAGGAACTAGAACTAGGTTCCCAGCCATACAGATATTAGAGGCAACGAAACAGCAGGCCAAATTATCGACGAAGCTACCACTAATATACATATGTTAACAACCAACTTCAGCTGCAGATCATTCAACTGCACATTTTCCCGGGACAAGCAAACTAACCAGAAGGCAAGCTCTGTCACACAATACTCAAAATGAAGCCTGAAACTCTTCTGACAACACTCAGGCAAACGCAAGCCGAATAAAACGAAAAAAGGAAATAAACTTGTTGCAGAGGGACTAGAAGAGTCTACAAAGTCTAATCAGTATAGGATCAGCCATTTTTGAAATACAGGCGTTCATTCAAACAGACGGACTGACAGGTGGGCATATGGGCTTAATATGTACTTATATCTCACTCATCATGCTGATACAAAATAACCATGCATATGTAAGTATATTATTAATGAGGAGATGCTTCCTTCCGCCTGTAGACTTTCAACAAACCTATTATACTCTTAGGGCACAGAATATAACAACAACAACGATCACAACACCTTAATTAATATGCACCTAATAGGATTTATGCCAATTGAATTGGCAAAAAGGCAGGGGCGGCGCAGCCCCACATTTGTTTACAAACACACGTTCGTCAGTATGCAGTTAAGTATGAATGTGCATGTGTGTGTGTGTGTGTTTTCCATTGTCACATGTCGCCGCCGATTACTCATAGACGCGTCAATCCAACTGTGAATGACGGACACCCGCGTACACACATACACATACACACACACACATGTACGCCACACAGGCACTGCAATGTTAAAATGTGCAGCAACCTGACAGCGACAGCTGAGCGTGCGTAGTGTTGGCAAGCGCCATTATTCAAATTTTGAAATGTTGCTACGCATTTCGACGTCGTCGACCCGACGACCCATTTATGGACACACGATGAACATTTTCTTCAGCAAAAACAAAAACTGCCCACACACAACATACGCACCGCCACACACCAGTATTTGTTGTTGGACAGCAACATTTAAATTGAACGACAAACACACATGCACACGCAAATGACATCATGCGCACAATTTCACGCAAAAAATAACAAAACAAAAAAAATCACCGAATTAGGTGTTTTTATTATCCCTAGCTGCTGTTGTTATTGTTGTTCTTGTTGACATTGCTGTGCAAACTCGCACAATTGCTTTAATTGTTGGTGAGTTTTTCTTTATCAGCAACAGGTGCATGGCCGAAGCGGCTTATCTATTTGTTGATACATACTCGTACACACATACATATGTACTGAGGCAGTTTTGGCCTAAAAATGTTTGCATTTAGATACATGTGTATTCAACAAGACTTAGATGCGGCGATAAGGAGAGCAAATTCCTAGACCTTGCGGATATTTACCCGCTATATATTTTGGTCAGACAATCACAGACATTGCCGTACAGGCACTAATCTCTCTGCAAATTACATATCTTCAACTTATTTGGGCACTAAACAAATATATGCTTAAGATATATTGGGCTTAAACAATAACGTTTTAGATTCGATTTAAGATGCATTGCAAGTAGCCTGGCCTACAAGTTGGTTTGCTTTTTCGAACAATGCAAAATCTAATGGGAATTATAATTGTTAAAATGCTACAGGTGCCTTCAAAAGAATACTTGTACATACTTTAACTTCATTCACATGAAAGACCACCAGCCTTCAGTTCTTGTTGAAAGAAACCCTAAGTGTCTAATAGATACGGGAATTTGTAAAACCTAGAATACTAAAACAATTCGATAACAAAATTATACCATGTCTACAATGTTACCTTACTAGTATTTAACTTTAAGTTAACATTATATAATAATAATAATATCACAAGCAGCTTCAGCTGATTTGGCAAAATGCCGAAACCAGATTGGTTTTTTTTTTGTGTGCTTTGAAATTGTGTCGTTTGCTTAATAATTCCGAGTTGAATGCTAATTTAATTAGTAATGCACGAGCAGTATTGCTACCAGCAGTTTAAGAATTAAGATTTTGATTTGGCCGATCAAGAAATTGTTAAAACAAAACTCAGGGGCAGGTTTAAAAAAATGTAATTGAGAATGCTGGAGTATCATTAATTCTACTTCTTAGCATTGAACAAGTAAAAATGGATTCAAAAGTTGAGATTTCATTGAATGAAACGTCCATGTTGAACAGCAATCAGAAATACCCTTGATGAATGAAATGAGTTGCAATTGCACACGTTGTGCAACACTATAAATAGCGCGTCACTTTGTGCACTGCAGTTGCCCTTCAAATACAAATGTAACTGTTGCCCATGCTGCGTCAATTATTGCAACAAAAACAGTAATAACCATTGTAGCGGCATTAACAGGGCTGTGGCATTTACCAGCGGCTTCAATGCAAGAAAATTGAATTTAAAAAAAGAGAGAGAGAAGCCGACGACAAAACAAGCGTACCAGCAGCAGCAGCCGCCAACTAGCACTTGAAAGTGTCGCGTGTGTAATTCACATAACAACAGCAACAACAACAAAGTTAATGCTGAAACTGCTGCTCGGTGCTAAACAATGAATCGAACGAACACGCACACATGCGCACGCACGCACGACGACCACCACAAAAAGTAACAAGAGAAGAAAAAACACAAACACACGCAGTTTTTGGCACAATTGGGCTTTTATATTCGCACCTATTCTTGCCAAAATAGTTAATAAAAGAAATGTACATATCTTTTCCTTCTAGCCAACACAGAAACCGGAATACGCCAACAAAACAAAAACTCACACAATCAGCAAACAACACGCACGCACACACACACACATATATATATATATATATATATATATACACAACTAACAGAGCATGTATGTAAGTAAATAAATAGAGTTTCGTTGCAAAGTTGAAGTAAATGAAATCAAAATTGATGCGGCGACATACACGCGGCAAAATAAATATAGAACTCGCGCACTTTTTGCCATATGCACAGAAACAAACAGTAAAGTAAATTATAAACGCCGACAAAACTGGTAACTACATGAGTAAAGACAACAACAAGTCCCACTGCAGACGACGGCGACGCTGACGGCGTACGTCGCGCTTGCGTTTCGTTTGAAAACTAAACCTGGCTAGAGATGTACAAATTATCGATAGAGTCGGCAACTTCGATTTGTTTTTCTTTTAACGCGTCGATCTTACCTTATCGAGAATATGAGTTGGAAAGGAAACGCGTTAAGGTTTAATTACCTAAAATGTTCCGCGAGTTTAAATCGTAAATGGTGAACAAATCGAAACCTTCAGAAATCTTTATACAAACATAAAAGTGCAGCATTCTTTATAATAAAATAATAGCGCAGGTTCTCAAAAGTGTAAACTTTTTATTTACATACATTACGAGCCATTTGCATTTTAAAACTATTAACTACTTATTGAAAACATGTCGCTACTGCTATACTTATTTGAGTTAATTTCAAATTGTTAAGCTACTTTTTCTTTTAATAGTAATAACAATTTTATTAACCGGCTTTTCTTTCCCCACAATACATGCAAACTGACCATGAGATGAATTTGGTGATAAGTATGGTGAAAATGGTAAATTGAACTTGAATTAAACAACAGGTGGCGTGTGAATAACTTTCTTATTTAAGCCACAACCTACCTCAACAGTTATGTTTGAAATTACAAAGCACTGAAGTTAAGGAAAAATTGAAGAAAATTAATGCAATTAAGAAACTGTATGAAAAGCATTTTGTTTAACTATTTAATTATCCTCAAAATGTTGTGCAAGAAATTGTTGATATAGGAAATTGGTAACTAATGGATCGCAAATATAATAATGCTTATAAAGTTGTTAAATACATGAAATTCCTGTAGATCTTCATTTCAAATTATATAAATATATAATAATTTTGTTATAAATTGGGGTAAATGGTGCACAAACGATAACTGCTCCGCAAGCAACTATCCAACTAGACCACGGATTGTATTACACGGAATGTTATGTATTCCAAAAATATATAAATCGCACCCAAAAGCAACTATCCTTGCAAGACTATGTACTGGAAGAGCTTTCTTGTGGTCTCTATACTCTCTATACTGTACAGCTAAGCACATTTTTGGAATATAACGCCAAAGATTCAGTCTCTAGCTTTTATACTACATACTTGTATGTACATTTCCAGCAAAAGCTTTACAAGCGGCAGTCCCGACCGATAATTGTCCCTGAAAGCAACTATCCTGGAGAATAGGGTAATAGACGTGAATTTGTTTATTTTGTTAAATAAATCAATACATAATACTTGAAAGAACCTGCAGTCCAAATTTGGTGACTCTAGTTCCAACACTTTCTACAAATCGTGCATTCATACAGACAGACAGACAAACAAACCGACAGGCTTTACCAATTCTGACTAACAGCGATAATCTACTAGTCCTGAAAAAACTGACTGACAGCGATAATTCACCAGTGCTGGAAAAGCTGAGTAGCAGAAGAACTCTAGCTTTAGAAATCCCTAAAAACCTGACTCACAACAGCTTGCTCTGAAAGCAACAATTCTGGAAAAGCTGACTAACAATGAGGCTCAACCAGTCCTGGAAAAGCTGAGTAGCAGAAGAGTTCTAGTTTTAGCAATGCCGGAAATACTGACTACCAGTGGAGCTCTACCAATTAAACTAATAGGTTTTGAGTCTACATGGGCGATTGTGTTTGTAGAATTCCCTAAACTGCGACTCTCCCATCGAGCCGCCCGACCGTGGAGAATGCTGTTCTAAGCGCAGATGACATTTAGTTTCATTTTTTCTTTCACAGCTAATTACAAAGCTCCCCGAGCCCAGATTATGACTCTTTTTGTGCTCGTCTTGCTCTTTCAGCATCTATGCTCTGCTTTTTTTTTCCTTTAAAATCTAGCTTTAGCCTCTTCCGAGCCGCAAAAAAAAAAATGGGAAAAAAACAACAAACCACAAAGCGCGTCGGGTATTTGCGGTTTTCTGCATTTTTGCTACTTCGTTTGTTTTTTGTTGTTGTTGTTGCTGCTGTTGTGGTGCGAGGTCTATGACCATCAATAGCCACAGCAACCACCACATTGGTGGTGTTAGTGGTGGTCACTTATCTTTCGTCAGCCGCAGCGGTGAGTCAAAGCGGGTGGCATGAGCGTCTCCAGATCAGCCGAGGGGCAGGGTGGGGAGGTAGGGAGGGGGAGGGATGTGGCAAGCGAGCGAATGCGATCACTGGGCGGCAATTTCGGATCGTATTACGCTTCTTTACACGCCACCTGAGAAAGGCAGTGGGCAGTTAGTCAGTCGGTTGCTAACCACCGAGCATGACATATTCAAAAACATCCCCCCCTCCCTCGATCTATCCAACTGCCACCGCCGGACGCCTCACGCCTTCTGGTGTGTGGCATTCACTCCACCGAGCAAGTGAGTGGATCGTTGTGTGTGTGTGTGTGTGTGTGCTACGCTTTGGTGCGCCGGTAATGCGCTACACTCTGAATCGGGCATATCAACACCTCTCCGTTCTGAGTAGAGAGCATGCCAACACTTCTTTTCCAAAAGAAGGCAAGACGAGTCGATCGGTTTGTTTGTCTGTCTGTCTGTATGAACGCAAGATTCGTAGAAAGTATTAGAACTAGAGTCACCAAACGTAGACTGCAAGTGCTTCCAAGTATTATGTACTGATTTATTTAACAAATAAAACAAAGTCGATTTCAAAAAACGCCTATTAACAATATGTATTATGAAGGAATGCAGTCCAAGTAGGCTCGATATTTTTGGGGTCCGGAATGCCATTTATCTAATCAAAAACCAAATAGATTGTTCGTTTATGCTGGTACAACTAATGTTTCTATATAACACTCATCTAAGGCTTGTACCGGTAAAATACATTATATGCAATGCAGTACCAGTAAAAAACTTTTATATAGTCTTAGCAACCGGTTACATATGTACCGAAAATATACGAAATTCTAAAAAGACACATTGTAAAAATTTAATTTTGAATACAGCTTGAAAAGAGCATCAATAACGGTACATTATCCAGCTATACCGAGACAGTATTCCAACTCATCAATATGGACTAGTATTATGTTTTTGTACAGAAAGAAAATGCCCATTTTGTTATGGTGTAGTGTAAAAAACAAAATAATAGACTTAATTTCCATGCTAAATAACGTTAAGCGAGACTACACCTTTTGATTTTTCATACATGGAATTGGAGTTGGAAAAGCTTCCCCCATTTTCGATACATCATAGTCTGTACCGGTTAGTGAGCAGTGGGTCCATGATTCGTTGTTGCTTGACCCGCGCTTTGGCGCCGTCGTCAGCCGAAAATGTTTATGTTTTGTGTTCACTTCTTTGTTCAAATTTCTGGCATGTGCTTTACACATTTGGCGGAGACCGTTTCATGTAGCGGTTTATTTAAGCGAGCCTGCCCGCCGCCCAGTGCTGTTATTATAATCAGTTTGTTGTTATTGTAGTAGTAGTTGTTGTTGTTGTTTTCTTCTTCTTCTGAATATGTACAATAAATTATTTTTAGAAAACTGTCTCAGCTTTTATGTCGACTGCAAAAACGGCCATAAAAATAGAAATAGAAACCCGACGGGCAACTTGCATTTCTAAACCGTTTCATAAATATGTATGTACATATGTATGTATGTTTGTAAGTTTATGTTATCTGGCTGCTCACTTTTCTTTTCGTTTTGGGGTTTTTGTTGTTAATGGTTTCCGTTTTGTATATTAATGTTGTTATAGGTTTGAATTGTTGTTGCTGTTATTGTCACTGTCTTGCTTAGAAGTAGAAAGTGAAGTTTTGGTCACGGCCCCAAGAGTTTCACTCAAATTATATAATTAATGTATTTTTAATCGTTTTAAAAAGTCAATTTCCCTCGAAAGCAGCAACAATGACAAAAACAACTATTAATGTTTTCTTTTGACTTACCATGGAAATCTGCAACCGTTGCAGTTGTTGCCAACAACAACAGCAATAATCAATCAACGTACGGTACACACACTTAAATGCCGTTAGACGCAAAACTAAAAAAAAAACGCACACACAAAAACAAAACAAGAGACGCATAAGCAACACATGTGGACCGCACACATACATACATACACACACAACTCCAAATGCACACAAATGTGCATTTGTATGTACATAGGTGTGTGTATGTATATATGTATGTGTATATGCATTTTGAAAAGCACATTTTTTTATAAACAGCTGCAACAGCAATAACAAAACAGAAAACAGCAGCGACGGCGACAGCGACAGCGACTCGTTAATTGCATTAGAAATTCGTATGCGTGTCGGGGGCTGCGGCACGGCTGCGAAGCCTTGCAAGCAACAATCAAATATATAAATGAAACAAAAACTAAATAGTACTGTATATGTACATACACATGTATGTACATACATATGTACTATTCGCAACAGCTTTGGCATTTATTTAAACGTATTTTAAGCATTTCTTAGCCAAGACTCCAATTAGATGAATTGTTGCAGATTAAGATTGTTGTTGTTATGGTCCCGTTACTTCACAGTCGTACACACACACACACGCATACATACATATACTCTAGCTATGACCTCAACTGCACTGCGCACACTTGATAGCCAATTAATATTCATTTATTTTTGTGCCACAATTAAATATGTACGCGAACGAACGAACACACTGCACCGACGACAATAATAACAACAACAAAACAAACAACAACAAAAAAACTGCACACATCAAGCGCAACAACACCAAGGCAATGAACAGTAAAAGAAAAATTATGAAAATAACGCGTTTCAATTACTTTTGCTTTTCTGGAAGTGCAGGCCGAAATCCAAACCGTATTATTTATAACAAACAAAATATTTTTGCTGCCGTTTCACGTTGTACGACAGCGGCTTGTGGCGGTCCGTTTGCCTGTGCAGCAGACGCAATAGTAAAACATCAGCGAACCGCCGACGAAGAAGAATACGAGAGAGGGCGAAAAGGAAAAGCAAGCTCAGCAGCGCAGACCATCGTACAAAGAAACTAGAAGCGCAAATCCATTCTCCGCACGTGACGTCACAATATAGTTTGTGGCGTAGCCATACTTGCAGTGTGACTTCAATTCAAAAATGTCTCATACTGTGTGTAGGCATGAGCAAGATGTATGCAAAAATCATACCCAGCCAATGTGGAAGGAATAAATCAACTAAATTGTTCACTGGCTTGCCCTGTTTGTGCAGTGGAAGTAAAAAAGCAGTGCAGCCTCAAGTGCCATACCTCCTCTCTTTGTACCATGCTCTCTGGATGGCTTGATAGTGTGAGCGCCGAAGCGCGCAAAGCAATTTACTGTGTAAAATACACCAATTTACTCAATCTATCACAGCCACTAAAACAAATATAACAAATGCAATTATATTTTATTTCATCAATTGCGGGAAATCCAATGCATTTGCGCCGAAATATTTATTTTCTTTTCACTGCGCCAGCATCGCAAACTCACCCTTTTTTCTAAAAGTGTGGCAGCCCCAGAAAAATAAGAATTGATTTCCATTTTTCGCTCTATTGCAACAATTGATTTATATTTTGTTTTAAATTTCTATGTTGCACAATTGCAGTTATTTAACCATCGTGTTTGTTTCTTTTAAATATGTGGCGCGCGTTTGAATTAATTTTTAAAATTCAAACCAGTGCTGGTAAACACACCAATGCGGTCAGCAGTAGAACCGCTGTTTACATAAATATGCAGCTTACTCGTTTTTTATGTATGTATATTTTTTACATTGTTAGTAAAAACTAAAAAAAAAAACGAAACAATAGTAATTGTTTCACTCATTAACCCTTTTCACTTCGCTCGCATCGAACGGCACCTCGTCGACTTTGTTGAAGCCTGAGAAGCGTATAATTTTTCCAGAGCCCTCCACTCGCAGGTGCTTAGCAAACTGCTGTGCCGGCGACAGAGCCAATTCCTCATCCGTCTTTAAGCCATGGTGCTTGGCCCAGTCGTTGCGTCCCGTATAGACCATATAGCAGACGAAACCGAAGGCCTGCCATGCTAAAATGGCGTATCCAATACTTAGGCGACGTTTCCACAGTTCGGCCCGATGTTCTGGTATGGGGTTCGTATTGCGACGCACCAACCGGCGCAACCATTTCATTTCAAATAGAGCCATTTTATACACAAAGAAAGACAAGTGTGCCTGATTTTTGTTATATAAATCAACTTGCTCGTCCAGACGCCTGTTATCCGGTGTACCGCGCCACTAATAATAAACAACAACGAACAGCTGTTCAGTTAGGGTGTGCAGCATATTTGCAGTATCAGCATAAAATAAAAGCAATAACACTCCAGGCGCTAAACAAGCAAAAATGTGCAAGCAAGCAATTTCGGAATTGCATTCCACGTCACGCGCATTTGTTAAGCTAAGCAATTGTTAGCAAATTATAATATTCGCAATTGGTTTGCTGTATATGTGGTGAGAGCGACAACCCAGGCTGCAGATGCAACTCAAACGGTGCCTAATAGAATATAATAATTTTTGTTGTTGCTCTGCTTTAATAATGGAACCGTGATAGACGCCGCAATTAATACATACATATTTTTTTATAACCGGCCGTGCAATTTTCTTTGAACAACAAATTGATATTCTCCAACGTGTTCATGCAACGCTACTGACAATTAAGTGAGTCCGCTTAGTAACTTGCAAAAATGGATTTGCGCACTAGACCATCTATTTTATATTGCTTTCGTTCTACAAATTTCTAAACAGACTTCCACTTCATATAACGAAATTGGCGCAAAACAAGACTGCATTAATATTGGTCTATAGATGCTAAAGGTGGAGAGGTGAAGTCCAGATAGTGCCTGGTCTGCTCAATGTAAGTTCAAATTTAAAATTAATCTTCGCAAGGTTAAACATTTGTGTGCGAGTATGTTAACACACATGTACATGCATACATACATATGTATGTCATGTATATGTATGTATGTGAGCAACAATCCTCGACATAATTTATTAACACTTACATAGTAGACGAATTTTATTTACAATACAATTTTTTAGCACACGCAGTACTCGAAGCCCCAAAAACGAGAGGAACAACAACAACATTGTTTTTAACCAAAAGCCACAATATGCCTACGGCCCACCAGTCGCCACAACAGCCACAGCAGCCGCCCACACAGTCATTGGAGGCGCTGCAGTCGAATGAGGAGAACAATGGCGCCGATATAAAGGTGGATACCAATAATATGCCAAATCTCTCGACGCTATCGCTGGATGAGCTCAAGCAGCTGGACCGGGATCCGGAATTCTTCAATGACTTCATTGAAGAAATGTCTGTCGTTCAGCACCTGAATGAGGAACTGGATTCCATGATGAATCAAGTCGACAATATATCTCGTGAGTGTCCGACTCTCATATCGTTTTCAAATTCCGTCATTAACAATAATCTCATTATCTCGCTCTCTCTTATGGATCAGGTGAAAACGAAACTAAGGGCACACACTTGGTGGAGTTGAAGCGGCGGCTCAGCGATGATTACACTGCACTGAAAACGCTGGGAGAGAAGTGCGATCAGCTTAATAAGAAGTACTTAAAGAAATCGGAGGAATACGCACCTCAACACATACGGGTAAGACGGAATGCCAGCCAATTAGTTTGAAATTATATTTCAAGATATAGTCATGTAGTATTTAAGTCTAAGTTTCTAGATTTAGAGTGTACCACACTTTACCACAAAATGTCCCATAAAAAGAGAGAATGAAGAACCTTTTTGTTATCCCAGTTAATTCTGAAGATCGCTTGAGGAAAATGAGTTAAGATGAGGTTATTTTCAGAGAGTATTACTACACAGATCCTACTAGTTGAGTGTAAATTTCCCTTGAATGAAGACTCCTACGGTCTATGAGATAGGCATCATTATGTATTATGAGTAGTCTCTTAGTTTAAATTCTTTTAGAAGGTTCATTACTAAGCAGAAACTGCCACTAGGTTATTCAAAAGATCGTTCAATATGCAAGATAGGTTCTTAACTTGTATTATGAGTGGCCCTTTTATTGAATTCTTTTAAAAATAGTAAGTAAGTAGGTAATTTAAACGACCGCTTAAGAATAAAATAAAAGCCAAGTGTTCTCTACGCTTGCGCTCTTCAAGAAAGGTTCTGTATTTATATTATGAGTGGTTCTTAGATGGGCAACGTTTAAGAAGAGCATGACTAAACGGAACCCACTTGTGAGCTTCCAGTATTGCTTTCAGATTTAGGTTGTATAATCCGTTTCTCATTTCTTTTTCGACAGGAACTATTGCAAATAGCCGCATCCAATGCCGACACAGATTGCGATCGTCATGTGGAACATTTTCTAAATGGAAAAATTGATGTGCAAACTTTTCTCAATACCTATCAACACTCAAAGAAGATTAGCTCGGAGCGCAAAGCCAAGGAGGAGCGCCTGGGTACACAGCTAAGTGCCTTGGAGCGTGCCGGCATATAGATAATTAATATGTCTGCCACATTTCTAATTAAAAATACATACAATTACGTGTTTATTTTTTTGTTTTTTGTTTCTGTTCAACTTGTTCTACAATACAATACAGTCGCAATATAGAAATTAGTCAATGTAATGAGGAACAATCGTCAAATGGAAGATAATACTCCAACAGGCATATATATACATTAATAACTAATACATAATAATATATTATATACAATGTACAATTGTTAGGGAACTGTGCGTGTAACTAGTGCTGACCAAGTTTGTGGTTTTTAATTTAGTATTTTACTCAATGTATCAATCAATCAATGATCTTACTTATGATGAGTGTGCACCTCGTCCGCCGTGTGTGTCACCTCTTCAGATGCAATTGCATTCAATAATTTCGTATAGTATGTTCGTATTGTATAATGGATGAAGTGATGTATTAAATAAATTATATGATTAATCTTTGTCTCTACTGCCTAACCATCCATTGCAGTTGTGTGTACGATTCGGTTGATGGACTCGACGCTATGGTGCCCAAAAACGATGACCAAACTATATCGATATAGAATAGAGGCAGCTAATTGTGGAAAGCATTAAGGATGTGATTTCGTGCAGCAGCTGATTTAAAAGTAAAGGAAGGCTTTTGTATTTGAATGTGGAAAGAACTGTATCGAGGAAACTAGTTACAAGGACCATAATCCAAGGTAGCACTTTTTCTGTACACACATTGATATTCCAACCATTTTAAATGAAACCTCAAAGAAATATAGTATAATAGTTTAATAGATAAGGAAGCTTATAGGATAACACAAACCAGGATTAAAGGGAAATTCAATTTAAAAGGATGTTCATCGTCATGTCATCGTTTAAGAAGCTATCATTATACATTATGATAGGGCAGGAAGAAGAAGGAAATGAAGTGCTTTTAACGATTAAGGTAAGGTTAATGGATCTAGAAAATAGTTCAATTCTATGGAGTGCAGCTAGAGCCATAGGGAAATGGAATAGAAAAGAACAGTTCTTGTGAAAATTCTTGCTTGGCCGACTTAGTAATGCCCTTTTAGGATTTCGATTCGTCTCGCTATGCCCATCATATATGTATGTACATATATATGGGGTCTGCCATTCTACCTTCTGCCTATTAAATATTTTAGATTAGATTAACGTCCTAATTACGGGGTATAATTACCCTTAGGGTACAGGCTATAAAAAGCGCCAAATGCATAGAGTCAAAAAATGTTGGTCAATCTTTTTATGGGGGAAAAGGGTAACTAGTTTGGTGGGAAGTAGTCGTGGTAAAGCATATATATTCATGACCAGTGTGACAAGACGAGTTGATCTCCGTCTGTCCAGCCGTCTGTATGAACGCAAGGATCTCGAAAAGTATAAGAGTACATAAGAGTAACCCAGCTTGGTGTGCATGTTCCCCCAATATTGTATATCCTGATGCATGATTTATTCGAAATTTTATGATAAATCGAAATTTTTTTTAAAGTTTAATATTTTTAAAACTTTAAAGCGCATTCATGTTCATGGTAGTGCGCTAGTTTAAGGGTATTTAATAGTAATTCTGGCTCGTCTACAATTGTTTACTTATATACAGTGCGTTTCATATTTATTAGACACCTATATTATGTTAAAAATATTTAATATTAGTATCAAAAGGTTTTTCAAATAAGTACTAAATAAAATGTTCAAACATTAAACATTTGTACAAAAGTGGTAACCCATTGAACTTATTACTAAGTACACTAATTTATTTATACCTAATATTCCAGCATTGGACATCAATCTTAATAGCTCGAATCCACCACTCAATGCGATATGGATTTATGAAATATCTTCCTGAAAAATTAATTGGGCTTATATTTTTTTCTTAAGAATTAACAGACGACTGTTCTCGAGAATTCCACCGTACTAGCTGCTCTTCATACGTGAAGATATTAATTTGATTTCGAGCTAGGAATGGCATCCTAAGTTTTTCCAGTCCGAAAATACAACCTATAAGAAATGGGAAGCAACCCAGATATGGTTTGAAAACTTTCTTATGTCGAATTGAAGCATTTATAATTTGGATACCGCTGTAGGGTGGGCTAAGCTGTGATTTTATATGCTCTATTATTCTCATAAAGCTCCCAAATTTTGAAATATCTTTGTCATTGAGTATGGAGCACTTCTGCAAATTAATCTATTTTTGTGAAATACTGAATAAGGTTTCATAAATGAGAAATGACAAAAAAAAAGCAATACAGCTAGTTGATAACGACTGGAAAGTAACGATCCTCTGGGGTTGTTCCGGTTATATCAATGCATTCATTCAAATTTCTATTTTGTTGTTGTTGTGTTTTTTCATAAGAAAGGCAAGGATTATAGAAAGTATTTTAATGTATGGGTGTGTATCGGAATGACGGGTCATCGACTGTTTGCTGGTCATACTATACGTAGCAGAGAGTCCCCATCGACAAGTTCCCTACAAATGAAGCCTTGAAGACGCATATAAGGGTAGTAGCTAGTAGCTCTAGGTCCTCTTCACAAAGTTTGGCGCCCAACGTGGGGCCCATAAGGTATTGTGTACTCTAGTTGTAGGTCCTCATTACATAGTTTGGCGCCCAACGTGGGGCCAATTGTGTTCTCTAGTTGTAGGTAATTTTTACAAAGTTTGGTGCCCAACACGGAACAATTTAGGCATTATGTGCCCTAGTTGTCGATTCTGATAATATTGTTTAAAACAAATTCCGAATTCATTTCTATAACTGGAAGGTCTAGCTGTGTATAGACATCAACAGACATCATTCAACAGTAGGTTAGATCAACTGTCGTTTTTAATAAGTGAAGAAAACCGTAAGGTGTCTTACAAATATGAATCGCACTGTACATATATGTATTTAGAAAAGGCGTCCTTCTTTCGGGTCTAAAAATGTCGAGCGCTCTTCGCAGAGCTGAGGTGCGTTGCTCCTGCTTGCCAAAATCGTTCTGACTTGATGATGATTAGCAACTGCTGCTCGATGTCGTGAGAGTCTTCATGGGTTTGTTCGTTTCTACTCTATGTGTGTGCGCCGTCTTTGTGTGTGTGTGTGTGTGTGTGTGTGTGCAGTTTGTGTGTGTGTGTGTGTGTGTGTGTGTGAGTTGCCATCTGTCGCAATTTAAAACTGCAGAACTTATTTATTTATATTGCAAACGCAGAAGTTAGCAAAAAGCTGGTGTTCTTTTACACAATCCATACACACACACACACACACACACACACACACACACATGCATACATACTATACACAACACATGGGTGCTAAGTATGTACATACACACATTCTATATACATATATAAATATGTGTGTGTGTGTGTGTGTTTAATTCCTAAATTTGTAGTGACTGGCAGCGGCGACAGCGGCAGAGACGGCGACAGCGCAAGCGACAGAGTTCAGCTCATGCTGTATGCTTGGATTTCTCTCCGTTTCTCCGTTGAGGCCGCCTCTCTATTTGCTCTCAGCACGCCCCATGTGGGTGGTACAATTTTGTCGCCTCGCATGTGTGTGTGTGTGTTTGTGTGTGTGTAGACTTACCATTACTCGTCTTGCGCTCGCTGCCTCAATGCTGCCACTGCCACCGCCTCTGTTCGCTGCCTCTGTCGGCAGCTGGCGCTGCCGCTGCTGCTGCTGCTACGTCCAGCATCCTTGCTCTGGCATTGGTAGCTGCGGCACGGCACAGCACGGCACGGCACGGCACGGCTGCTGTTCGCAGGACTCGCAGCGCTCAGTTACGCGCAAGATTTCAACAAAAATTGTAGCATACTTCACCGGGCGAATTGCGGGCGTGCGCAGCGCAGGCAAACAAAAAATCGCACGCAAAACTCTGCTAGCCATTTAAATTCGTCGGCCGTTTTCGAACAACTCAATTTTTTGCCAATCTTTTTCCACCCAACAACAGCAACAACAACACACAAAAAAAAAAATCAACAAAAATTTAAATTACACATAAAAGGGCAAAAAAAAGAAGAAAGTAGAAAGTTTTTGAATTTCTATCTGTCGGGCTTCGAGTGCGTATTTCATACGCCGCGTGTGCCCTGCGTCTTGCGTCCTGCACCCTGCGCGACCGCCACGGGTTCATTTTTTTTCTGTTTTCTGCTGTTACATACTTCGATTTTTTTTTTGTGTCGCTCCCTGTGTGAGTGAGTGTGTGTGTGTGTGTGTGACGCGCAAGCATGCAAGTGTTTAGTGTAATATTTATTGCTGTGTTATTATTTGATGGTTTTCAAGTTTCAAACGAAAACAGCCGCTAACTGAGCGCGTGTGGAAGGTCCAAAGACGAACGAACAACACCAAATCCATATTAAAAACTCTAGCCACTAAGTTCTAAGCCTAGCCACCAAAGCAAACGAAACGCACAAGTCGATAAGCAACCAACCAAACAAATTCTAAATAAATGAAAAGAAACATAAACTTAAAGCAAGCAAATAAACAACACCAAGCCAACATTCAAGTTTAAATATGAATACTACCTATATAGTAATAATCGGAATGGAACAACAAATCAGCAATAGCAGCAGCAGCAGCAACAGAAGCACCAAATTGTAACGTAAATATCGTAGTTTGTATTTAATTGAAAGCTCAAAAGTACGCCCATTCTTTTCATAAACACTGTAGAGCTGGGGATGGCAGATGCTGCCAATGCCGATGCTAGTGGCCATTCAGATTGCTTTTGATGCCAGCGAGTTTTTCAACAAATTTGCACTTAGTTAGGCGCACATGTTGTTCTTCTTGAAAGGAATGGCGAACAAAACAATTCGTAGCATACTTTTTTGGGGCCTCCGAAACATTCAAGAAATAGTCAGACAGGCAGACAGTCTGCCATGATTGGAGTAATACTTCAATTAGATCCAACCAGATACCACATCGAGAGTTCGAAGACTACTTTGCAAAGTCTACGCAAATTATTTGCAAGTCGGCCCGCAGTACAAGTTTGTCGTGAATGGTGTTTCAATGAAAACCAACAAGAATTCTATATAACTCTATTCAAAGACAACTCGTTAAATATCTTAAATTTGTGTGCCAAATATTTGCATGTCTGACC